GTGGCAGGTGCAAAACTGTTGGAGACACCCTATTTAAATGATGGTTTTGCGCGTTTTGTGGTTTGCGGCATGGTGAGTTTGGACAGCAGAAAGCGCAAAAGGAAATTCGACCCCATGGAAATGGAGGTGTTGGTGGATGAATCCAACAAACATTTAAGTGAGCTACAGCAAAGAAGTGTGCCTGTCACACAGAGGAACGCTATATGTGAACAAATCTGTAATAAAGTAAACGCTGTTGGTGAAACCTTGCGAACAGTGGATGAAGTAAAAAGAATACCAGGATATTAGAAGGCGAACCAAAGAAAAACTGGCATATAACAAAACATCTGCGAACAAAACAGGAGGGGGCACAGTAGATAAGATGCCTCTGACCAGCATTGAGGAACAAGTACAGCTGACGCTCTGTGAGGAGCAAATCACTGGAATTGCAGCTTCAAAATGGCAATGCTGGATAAACGATATGTTTTGATGATCGTTTCCTCCTTCATTCCAAAAATATTCACACGGAGTGAAAAAATGCGTTCTCTGCGTCTCCTTGCTTCATTTCGATGTCTCTTTCTTGCGACAATAACCGCTGTCATGTGTGCGCAATTACGCATACAGACCATTTGCACCTTCTTTTGAAACGTGTTAAATATAGAGTCAGATACCGTTAGCAAAATTGCTTTCAGGTTTAATAAATCACTTTGCGAGTGCTAAATTAATATATTTACATGTTCTCCTCCCACAAAACGCCCCATCCCACAAAACGCCCCATATTGCATATTCATAGCAGAAAAAGTACTAAATGGATAAGAGGCGCTATTTAGCACGTTTTAAAGACCAAATCCTTTTAGCACGCTGTTGATAGATCAGTTTGTACATTTTTAGCGTGCGCAGTGAAATAGCTCACGTTTTAATACACGCAAACCTTTGATAGATCCGGCCCTATAGCCTATGTTGGGAGCTGGAGAAATCCCATCTTTCTCCAGCAGAGTCCGCCGTGGATCCTCTGAGGGAGCCTCCTGCACAGCTGCAGCTCGTCAAAGATCATCAGAGAATCCACTATATAAGCTGTCTTCACACCTTGCCTCAACGCCGCAGTGTTGTTCCAGTTGGTCAGCGCTAAAGCCTAGATCCTCAGTGTATCTCCATGACTTTGAATCCAGTCTGGATTCTAACTACTGTCTCTGTTTTCCAGGAAACCCGTGCCTCCTCTGTGAGATCTCTGGAAGAGCTAACCTGCCGAGCCGACCCTCTGAGCCAAACCCTGAAGATTCACAGAGAGCCCCCAAGCAGCTCAGGACTAGAGCTGGGAAATCTAAGCCAAGGTCTGTTCAAGCTAAGACGTGAGACGCTGAAGCAGCAAACGGACTCTGCTGACAAACCCTTCGCCAGAACCAACAGTGACTCTCCCAAGGTTAACCTGAAGAACCCTCAAGGTACAATCAGTGAACCAGTGGAAATCAAACCCTGTCAGCAGTCACTAACTGTGCTGTCTCTCACGCAGACTCCGGTGAACCAGTTCCCAGGCCCGAACCAGAATCAGTACATTCTGTGTGTTTTGTGCTTTAATAAACTGTTCAACTTTTCATCCTTGTGTCCGTCAGTGGTGTTCTGCATAACTGGGTCTCCTTCAGTGAACCCATCATGACACTATATGTATTGTAAAATTCAAACCTCCACCAAAAAGTTGGAAAATGTGCTTACTCTCATAAGTTAATGTTAGAGAGAAATATTCTACACCCTGCCTACACTTTGACTATTATCATTTCAGGATATCTATCAATTTTTAGTTGCACTGTCTACCAAGAAGTTTTTTCTTGCTTGAATGGAAACCAACAAACACAATGGTAAAAAGGCCTTAGGCTTAGATTTAAACAAACTTTATTGTCATTTTTTATATGATCAAAATGTAAACAGTGTAGGAGAGACATAGTGCAAAAGGCATTGATGTGGAAGGTTGAAAATGCAGTCAAACACTGAGCTGAATTCTATTTAAAGGGATGTAGTGCAATTATGATGTTTAAAGTGTGATGCAGAGTCTTGATTTGTGACTTGATCGGAGTTTTCAAAAGTTCAACAGTCTTATGGCAGCGGGGAAAAAGCTGTTGCAGAAACTGCTGGTCCTGCATTGACCTGTGATTTCTTTTAATTTTAAGACAACAAAAGAAAGCTTTTATTTTGAATTTGAAGATTAAATGTGATTCTTTTTCATTCCTGGACAGCTGCTAGAATGTTTCTGCTGGTATTTTTTATGATTTATTATTGGCAATGTGCTCTTTTTTTTTTCTTTTTTTTTTTTTTTACGGTGTCCTGTCAATGTGGCAATAACAATAATTTTCTTGATTCCAAAAGGAGCCCAACATATTTTGCTTTCACAAGTGGAGCAGTACGGCTATTGCCATAGTCTTCTGCTTGATTTATGCATATAACTAGCTTTATTATAATTATGCAGCCGTTTTACAGATTATATGGACACTGTTATGTAAGTAGAAAAGGACAGGAAAATCAGGTAAAAAAAAGGAGAAAAGATGAAAGAAAGAGGAGATGAAAGGGAGATAACAATGAAAAATCTTCAATCTGCTTCATCACCTGCAAAGAGTAGTAAAAAGAACAACACAACCAATGGACATGGTACAAAACATAAAATAAAATAACACCTAGATACTATCACTGAAGTATAAGTAGTATTATTTAATCGGACGTATATACTGTGGTAGCTGAAGATAAGAATATGGGCTTTCTGTATGGAAGTGAATCTCTGAGTACCTGGAACAAAGCACCTGTAGTTGTTTGCGAGAGTGCACTTGAGCATGTAAAGTCTATCAAAAGGAAAAATGCTCAATAGTGGTTGTGAAGAGCCAAACAGGCACCCCCTTCCAGAGCACCGGGGGCAATGTGCTCTAAGTGTCTGTGGAAGGGGCGGGGCTGGGGGCATATCTGCGTAAACTGCAATGCTCACACAGACAACCTGGTCTCTGAGCATAAACCAGCCTTATGTCTTTGAGTTTGTAAGGTCTATTTGTCTTTAAACTAATCCTTAACCTGTTACATATTCTCCTTTAGATTGAGGCCAAAACCTTGGCTGGGCTAATCCAAACAGTGAGTAATATTGCTAATAAGGAAAATATGTTTTTTAAAATGACCAAATCTGAATTTGAGAGTGCTGTGAATTATATTGGATTACCTTTCACATTATAATTTCTGTCCCAAAACATAATACTCAGTTAACACATTGGATTTTATAGATGAGGATTAAATACAGCATAAAGCATAGGAACACATGCATGAGGGGCCCAAATGGGACATACCAGGGCCCCTGGAAAAAACGTCATGCTCAATTTCTTGGGAAACCAAACTAATTTTGTCCTCATTTTCCAAGGTGTGTTTGTCCAGACGGCTTTTTGATGGGCCTTGGATGGGCCCCACATCAATGTCTTTCTATTTTTTTATGAGAACAGCTCTAGAAAGTTCCAGAAAGAAACAGAATCATATTTTACAAATGCGTACACCGCAAAATTTTTTTTATCTAAATAAGTCATTTTTTCTTAAAATAAGTGAATTTTTTCTATAATTGTGGAGGTAAATGAGACACTTTGCCAATGGAACAAGACGATTTACATTTAAAATAAGAAAAAAAACAATTGCATTGTCTTTTTTCAAGGACAATTCTATCTAATTATCATTTGAAGAGTAAAATTACTCACTCTATTGGCAAATCATCTAAGTAAATGTACTTAATTTAAGATTTTTTGTTTTTTGTTTTACTTATTTCTATATTGTTTTTGCAGTGTAGGGAGACGTTTCCTGCAGGTGTTCTCTAAAAGCAGCTTTTACGCTATGAGCAGCTGCTGAAATTGGTCACTGGAGTTCATTCACATTATAGGAGAAAAAACTGTTGTGCTATATAAACTCTCCCTGCCAAGAAATAGGATTTGAAAATACATTCTCTAATGTAGTATTTAATAATGAACTAACACATGCAATTAACTATTCCTCTTTAATAATTCGATTTCAAACGTGCAAATAGGAAACACTTTTCATATTGGATTACTAATGTATGACTTAAACGTTACATTTGAATTGCAGTTTTTCTTTTTCAGTGACTTCTGGTTTTTATTATAAAGGACAGAAAAATATACAATAATTGAACTTTATTGATCTCACATTGGATAAATTTATCTCTGCATTTAACCCATCCCCTTGGGGAGCAGTGGGCTTCCATTGTGGGGAGCAATCGGGGGTCAAGGGTCACTGCTCAGAGACCCACAGTGGCAGTTTGTGGGAGTGGGGCTCGAAATCAGAACCTCAGGTTTCCAAGCTCTATGCCATAAGCCAAGGGTGTAACTTGGTGGGGACACTCTTAGGGTGGAGGCTGATGGATCTACAGTAACTTGACACAAACGCTTTCAATAGGGTTTGTATTTTGCAAAAATGAACTCACACACATATTTATTGAATGCTTTCCTAATGTTTAGAACACAAAAAAACAAAATACACAGATATTTATAGACAGTTAGACATTAATATATATAAAAAAAGGATGAAAAGCCGATTCTGATGCCAACTGCAAGATACCATGCCTCCCTAGTATGCACACAATTGGATGTTTTCCCTTTCAGCTACATTAGTGGATATCCTCCTTCAAAAGCAGTCAAATCGGATCAGTATTGAAATTATTGGTGGGGACATGTCAACACCAGTCCTTCAGAAAGTTATGCTTGTGCCCTGACCACTATGCCGCCACTCCCCTACACTCCCCTTAGTGCAGCATGACCTATCAGACGTTTCTAAAAACAGGTTTCTATAGCTTTTTTCTGCCAAATGTCTTCTTTATGTTATGTAAGAGCAATACTATCCGCCTATCCCCCTCCCCACGCGTGGATGTTGCATAATATTTCTATGTAAGACCTTCACCTACTGCCCCTTATATGAAGAAGGGAATTAGGTCAAGTCATCGGAGAAGGAAGTATGGGAGCGCCGCCCCTATTTTTTTCCTCTGCTCTAGTCTTTTCTAGACTCCCTGGCGAAAGTCTACGACACATCCGGGAGCTTCTGCTCTGAGGGCTCCAGAAACTTCTGCACGCCGCGCGGCTATAAGAGCGAGCCGCGCGCTCCTCCGACAGCTTCACTTCAAAGAGCGCTTCTTCAGGGCGAGAGCGAGGAAACACCGCAAGTAGCCTAAGTAGGATACCTTCCAGTGCAATTTTATTTAAATATAAAGGGTGCAAGGAAATTAATTTACAGCAAGCTGCATAATACACATATTAAATAATATTCTCTAACGTCAGGGTTAATACTTTATAACCCATAAGAGAGCTAATTTTGACTTAAAAATTTAAATAATACATACATAAAAAGTTAATTTTATTTATTTTTATGCTAAAATCTGCCGTTAGTCCATTTAATTAATTTAAGCTATTTGTTTTTTTACAGTTGAGTCACTATGGTGCGAGAAACTGGCTACTATGATCTCCTGGGTGTCAGCCCGAAAGCCTCTGCGGACGAAATTAAAAAAGCCTACAGAAAACTCGCACTGAAATACCACCCTGACAAGAACCCCAACGAAGGCGAAAAGGTAAGGAAGAAAACAAAATTGTAGAGATTGTTCAAATGTGTGGAAATGTTCACTCAGTGGAGCAGCGCGTGCCGGTTTTAAACCGGCTGCCATAAAAAGGAAAGGGGCTGGAAGATTCTGGAACCATCCACTGCGCTGCTGCTCTGCTATCAACAGGAGGAGATTATAGGCAGAGCAAGCAGGGGTGGAAATATTAAGATTTAACATCAAATATAACTGATTTTGTTAAACGTTTTTTTTAATTAATTAGTTTATTTAACATAATCAAACACCTTGCATGATCTATATCCAATTTAAATCTTAAGAAGTTGTGATTTAGTTGATTTCCCTGAATTGTTCCTCAAGCATTTTTTAAGAAAAAAGAAAATCTATATTTCAATTTCAAACAAAAAACTTGTGATTGCATATTTAGGTTTTTGATTGTGTATTTAGCATAATATTGACTGTGTAAGCATGGTAATATAATACTTCCATTCCTATTTTTCCATGTTTTTAGTTATGATCTGATTTCTAGTGGCGCCAGTAGCAAAGCAGACAGTGGTACTTTTACTTAGTATGTTAATAACTGTATAGTTCATTAGACGGTTGGTAAAAAATGCACTCATATAATATGTTTCAAATGGCAATAAAGATCTTAAAAGAATGTATGTATTTGAGTATTTTATTTTTTACAATACAACTTGGAATTATGGGTAATCCTGTTTTAGCAACAATGGATACCAAAAAGAGGTAATTAAGCGGATTTCAGAAAAAAAAAGGAAAGAAGAGCTGCTGGAAGAATGGAAAAAACAGATTGCCAGCATTTTTAAAAGCTTCCTTCACAGAGATCTTAAAGGCATCCTGGTTTGTTCTTCTACTTCATATATCGTATTTTAATATCGCTTGCTATTAAAATACCACTGACCCCTCTCTGTCATTCACACCTAATGCAGGTCTGCTTTTAAGTATTAAAATAACCTTAACTATTTGCCACCAAATACATCTAGCTCTTATTTTTACTTTACTGTTCTTATAAAGCAGAAGGAAAATGATATGTACTAAAATAAACACAGGTGGACGTTGCTGCTACAGTGAGTGAAGATTGTGACAAGAGGGGGGGTTGTACTTTATATGGGGCCAGATATTGTTGCTTATGGACCTATGTTGTGTCGTATTAGGAATAGATTAAGATTATGACCATCGGACGATTATATAACCCCTGTTGTTGTTAGAAATTGACAAATATCAATATAAAGTATCCCAAAGAAGAATTGCACCATTTCAAATCCAAAAAAGTCTTCCATGACCCCAGTGCTTCAGGCTCAGTGAAATGAATAGCATCATAAATCCATATCTTTAGTCATTTACATTGAAGAAAGTTGGACCTTGATGCCTGCTAATGTAGCATAATATAGATACACCAAATCAACTTTATGATATGATATCAAAACATCAAATATCAGACCATTTAGTTGATTCAAAGATTTTTTTCCCCTCATCCCTAAGTACATTAAAGTCAGTATGCTGAAAGAATTACTGCATGTTCATAACTAACAAGAATCTGACCATTTTTAATAGTCAGTAGGAATATTAAAGAGGATCCTGCAGCAGTAAATTAAAGGTGAATGCTGACAGCAATCTAAGCTTCCAGAAATATAAATGTTGTTTTAAAACTTTAGACTAACATAAAAAAAGTCATATTTATTAAATGAGAATTAATTTTATTTAACCTTCATACCTAAAAGTCTAAAAGCCACCTAATGGTTTCTCTTCTGTTCCAACAGTTCAAGGTCATCTCTCAGGCATATGAGGTGCTGTCTGATCCAAAAAAGAGGGACTTGTATGACCAAGGAGGGGAACAAGCTATCAAAGAGGGAGGCATGAGCTCAGGATCTTCACCAATGGACATATTTGACATGTTCTTTGGAGGTGGAGGCCGAATGCAGAGGGAGAGACGAGGTGAGATGCAATTTCACAGTCTAAGAGCTCGTACCTTGGATGCTGTATGCTGTAAATGTTGGGTTTTAATTTGCATTATCCCCTTGTTCTGCAGGAAAGAATGTTGTCCACCAGCTTGCTGTCACACTGGACGAGATGTACAACGGTTCAACTAGGAAGCTTGGACTTCAGAAGAATGTGATTTGCGAGAAATGTGATGGTGGGTGTTAAATCTTATGAAAACGACAAACTTAGTCCAACTTAGCTGGACAGAAAATGAATGTATCTTTGTTTAATTTTAAAGGTTACGGTGGTAAAAAGGGGGCCCTGGAGAAGTGCTCGACCTGCAAAGGCAGAGGAATACAAATCAGAGTGCAACAGCTAGGGCCGGGCATGATCCAGCAGATCCAGAGTATGTGCAGCGACTGTCAGGGCCAGGGGGAGAAGTTCAGCTCAAAGGACCGCTGCAAGAACTGCAGTGGACAGAAAGTGGAACGCAAGAAGAAAATTCTAGAAGTACACATCGACAAAGGTGAGACGGTCAGACTTAGAATACACAAGAGAAAGGAACATCCAGCCTAATTTAGATGAAGAACCTGTTTAAATCGTAGGTTTCAATTGTTCCAGGTATGAAAGACGGTCAGAAAATAACATTTCATGGTGAGGGCGACCAGGAACCAGGACTAGAACCAGGAGACGTCATCATTGTTCTGGATCAGAGGGAGCACCCGGTTTTCCAGAGACAAGGCAACGACCTGATAATGAAGATGGACATCAAACTGACAGAAGCCCTTTGTGGCTTCAGAAGGACTGTCCGGACCTTGGATAACAGAACGCTTATTATCAGCACGAATCCAGGTACTGTACCTCTGCCTGACCAGCCAGCTTCACCTGCATTGTTGCTGTTGAGTTTATAGCTAAGCTATCTTTTTTCTTTTTACAGGTGAAGTAATTAAGCACAACGACATTAAATGTGTTCAGAATGAGGGCATGCCAATCCACAGGGATCCCTATGAAAGGGGAATGCTCATCATTCAGTTCCAGGTGAGAGTCTGAACACGAATCATTACAACAATGTTGGCTAAATCTATTCGGCATGTGGCTAATCATAGTATCTCCTCTCAGGTGGAGTTCCCAGAAAACCACTGGCTCCCAGAGCATCTCATGTTCCAGTTGGAAAGACTACTGCCCCCCAGAGAGGATGTGATGATCACAGACGACATGGAGGAGGTGGACCTCTGTGAGGTGGATCTAGGTTCCCAACAAAAACGCTACCAAGGAGAGGCTTATGAGGAGGATGAGGAGGGTCCAAGGAGCGGAGTGCAATGTCAGACACAGTGATCACAGTTTAGGTTCCAGTTGCTGTTGACTCAAGGCAAAGGACTTTAAAGCATGAGTTGAACCAAAACAGCTGCCAAGGTTTATTTTTTATTTTTATTTTTTTATTGATTTTGACATGGAGAATTGGTCTTCTGTTTTACAAACTGTATATTTTTTGTGTGTCCATGATTCTGTATTTAAGATCTACTCTTTTCTTCTGTTTTTCTTTTCTTTGTATGTATATATTTGTGGCCAATGGCTCACTCGTTCTTTGCATTCAGAACCAGAAAGGACGATTTGAATGCTTTATGTGAAGGTAACCTCCGTTGTAACACATTTTGGGTCTTTTAATAAAGAATAGGAATCTTCAGCTGGAAATTTTTTTCTTTTGTTTCTAACAGTTTAATGACACATCTAAACATTGACGTAATCACAAAACTGGGCGGGTCTCTATTCCAGCTTTGTTTAGATAAAACATTTAGAAAGGAAACTTGCCTTCAAGTCGGACTATTAGCATAGAAAACCTATTATGCTCCCTGAAGATGATCAATAACTCAATCTAAAATGCTTTTATTTTCCTATGCCACCTAAAGAAAAATTGCTTTATTTTAGTTATACTAAAAAATGTGCATGACGTTATTTATTGCATACAGAATTAAACATCTAAATTCCAACCATATCTCTGAAGGTTAAAAGATTTGCCAAACCATTCAGAGATTGCCAGCATTTTTAAAAGCTTCCTTCTCTGAGATCTTAAAGGCATCCTGTTTTTTTTTTTTTTTTTATCAAATAATGTGAAAGCTGCCTTTTTTATCTCAAAATATAAATGTACATTTTGTGGAAAATAAAACAACTAATGAATTTCAACTTCTTAGTAAACAAAAAATTGTAACAAAAGCAAATTTAATAATCATTAAAGAATAATCTGATTTTTTTGTGTTTTTTAAATTTTGTTGTACTGCCATTTATGAAAAAAAGTCCATCTATTTTAAAATATGTCAGTTTGATTATACTTAGACGACAGTGTTTAAAATTATGCTTTTCATAAAAAGCTGTCATTTTAATGCAGAGCATCTAATTATCAACCATACCTTTAAATTAGATGCAAACCTCAGAATACAGTAATTTAATGATAAATGGGAGATTCTGAGGTTGACACCCAACCATGTATGTCAATAGGCATACTTCGATATCTCAAAGATCATAAAATAAGTTTTAGTCGACCTGCTAATAAAGAAGTCTAATCCATACAAGTTATGGTCAGGGCAGATGAGGTCTCTGCCACCCATTCACACTGTTTCCATCAGGTCAGTGCTAAGAAGAGCCACGAGAAATTTTTGTTTCCCAAAGTTTTATAGCTTCAACCAATGTTGATATGATTCATTGTCTATGAATTAATCTTTTTAAATTGAGATTATTCTGACTCTAAAATAACTGTCCAACACAAACGTGATGTAGTCCAAGGCTCATTCAGAATTTGATTAATGATGTCTGGGAGATGATAAACATTCATTTCAAACCTGAATCTATACTGAACTAAAATATTAGGATTAAAAGTTGTTTTAAAAACTTTAACTTTTGGGCTTTTTTATTTATACTGGAGAAGTAAACACAGGTGATTGTAACTTGTTCTATAAGTGGCACACATGATGTAGATTATCTTATTGTGAACATATTTATATTGTTTTTGAACGCATAATAAAGAGATAGATATATATTAACAGTCTGTACAGCTAATAGTAAAAATTATAGAAAAACAAAAAAACAAAACATTGTGGTTCTCTCAATTGGAACTTTCCAAAAAGACTGACATACAGAAGAGGATTAGGGCCACTGAAAAAATTAAAAGATTTGACAGATTTTAAAATTTTATTCGAGTATATGAGAAAAAAAAAGTCAGAATTCTTACTTTAATCTCAGAATTCTGACTTAAATCTTAGAATTGAACTGAATTCTGACAGCTAACAAACATGTTAGCATCAAGCTGTAGTCTGTTTTAGAGACGAAACTAACTCTCTTGTTTAATAGCATTACCGGGGACCCCTCGGGCACGTTAAAATAATTCTGTCATTTTCCACCAATGTATTACTGGCCCTCCCAAACAACTCACATCTTTCTCAGTGAAGTTGAGTGCTCCCACATCTCTTCCTTCATTTTGATAATCTATATTAAGATCCAAAATTCTGAGATTAAAATATCCTGAGAAAAAAAGTCAAAAATCTGAGATTAAAGTCAGAATTCTGAGAAAAAAGTCTGAATTCTCAGAAAAAAGTCAGATTTCTGTAGCCTAGTAAACTAGCCCCAGCCACCAGTGTCCAAAACCATTTTTGCCTGTAAATTAAATTACACATTTAATCTCACATTTAGTCTGGTTTATCAGGCTAAGTATTTTGAGATTAAAGTCAGAATTCCGAGATTAAAGTCTGAAAAATCAGAATTCTCAGAAGAAAGTCAGAATTCTTAGAAAGAAAGTCAGAATTCAGAGATTAAAGCCAGAATTCTGTAGCCTAGTAAACTAGCCCCACCCACCAGTGTCCAAAACCATTTTTGCCTGTAAATTAAATTACACATTTAATCTCACATTTAGTCTGGTTTATCAGGCTAAGTATTCTGAGATTAAAGTCAGAATTCCGAGATTAAAGTCAGAATTCTATTATTAAAATCAGAATTCTCAGAAGAAAGTCAGAATTCTTAGAAAGAAAGTCAGAATTGTGAGATTAAAGCCAGAATTCTGTAGTCTAGTAAACTAGCCCCACCTGCCAGCGGCCAAAACCATTTCTGCCTCACAATTAATCTCATATTTAGTCAGGCTAGGTTTATCAGGCTAAAAATTAAAGTCAGAATTCTCTAGCCTAGAAAACTAACCCTATGTGTCAGTGGCCAAAACCATTTTTGTCTGCGCATTAAATTACACATTTGTTCTATTTAGTCTGGTTTATCTGGCCACGAATTCTGAGATTAAAGTCAGAATTCTGATATTAAAGTTAGAATTCAGAGATCAAAGTCAGAATTATGAGATTAAATTCAGAATGATGAATTTTCCCCCATATTAAACTGAATTAATATTTTAAAAATCTGTTATTTTAATTTTATTTTTAGTGGCCCTAATCCTCTTCCGTACTGACAGGCTCCATACCCCTATCTTTAAAGACAGGGGTGTCGCTACCCGATCCGTACCGGTAGCACGATCCGTACCATCAGCTCATTTGCGCCTGCGCGAACAGAATAACTTCCGGGTCGCCAAAAAATAATGTAATTACGGTACTGAAAAAACTTTATTTATATCCTTAAATAATTAAAGAACACTAAACTACATCGTAAAGACAATATTGAAGACTTTTCTGGAAGAAATGGATGCTTTTTAAATTCAATCCATTTGTAAAGGAAGAAAATATTCTAACATAGTTAACTTTGGAAAAAGGTTGGCTTTTCATTTTCTTCCCTTCCCCAGGTCCACTCGGCGAGCTGCGTGTGGTCACTATGAAAATCAGCAAGGCATGTTGACATCACAGAATTACAGAGTTTAATCCAATATAAGACAATGCATACACTTAGAAATAAGACAATGCACAAACCTACACCAGAAACTGCAGAACAACAGAGACATACATTCCATTACCTGACATGAATGGAGAGAAGGAAATAAAGCAAAGACGTACAAGACATCTTTGGAGAGTTTGCAAGAGCAAAATCTGATCTGTAACTTCTATTTAGAAAGCTTTATCCTCTTGTATCTAATCCATTCAAAAAGGGCTGGCCCTCGGTCCTCCAACCAGAGCCATCTCTGACACTGAGCTTCACCTAATTTACTGCAAACATCTGGGGTCATTTGCTTCTTTGTTTTAACAAGAAAAGGCGGAAAGCTTGTCCTGTCATCTAGAACTCTCAGGGTCATAAAACACAAGATAAGCTCTCACAGACAGCTTGTGGAATGCGGGGGGCCTCACTTTTGACCTTCTGTAAACCAAGCAGAAATCTCTCCTGCAGGCTTAACTGTTATTCACCCCCCAGGAGATACTCATTTCATGGCCTGTGCTCTAAATACTTACCCATTAGTAGTTTTAAATCATTAACACAGCCTTGTTCAAAATTAAGAAATATGTTCAAGTGAGAGTGTTTACACATGCCATAAGATTAACTGTATTAAAGTCTAAAAAATAATCATTTTTCTTTAACAGTCCCCGTTTTGAGGTCTGAGACATACAGACCTCACAAATAAAATGATTAAGCCTTCTAATAGAGGAACCAAAAACTATCTAGTATACTAAAAAACTAAAACATTAGCCCAATTTTTATAACAGTCCCCTTTTTAAACAGCACCTCCTAGGTCCACTGCCAGGTCATGTGTCTGAAGCTAAACTCCAGTATCTGTCCAACAATTTAATACTCACCTGATGAACCACAAAATTTTAACCAGTAAAAACTAACTAAAAATACATTTCACTTATCAAACCTGAAAAATCATAAAACTCAGTTATGTCAATAGAAGAAAACACACAATAAAAATATTAGCCCAAGTATAAAATTAGAAAACCAAAGCAAGATATCTCGAAATTACCAAAAAATGCTCAGCAGACTCAAAAGACAATACTCGCCACAAAAATTACAATTTGTCAATACAAAACAATAACAACATAAAAAATACATCATAAACACATAAAAATTACAAAAGACCTTTTTTTCTTTTTTTTTTTCACAATTCAACAATAAGAAGTTAGAGTTCGTCTCTATGCTCCTTCGATAGTCTTTCAAAAATGAATATGAATTCTTCGTCAGGAAACGATCCAAAAATACGCGCAAAAAGAAACGAATGTTCTTGAAGAGTTCGCAAAAAACGAAAACACGCAATAAAAAGAAGATAAGTTAATGATGATCTTGTAGCTGGATCCTTCACGTGTTCCTCCTCGGTTGTAAACCTCAGGTTTTCACCTGAGTGTCCGTTGCTCACTGAAAATTGGAGTATTATGCCAATTTAACAGTGAGTTTAAGGAGAGGGTGCAATCTCCTTTTCTCAATGGAAGGACACCGGAACAGGATTATTGTGCCTGTCTGGGCCTTTTAAGCCTTGTAATTCAGGAAAATGAAGTGGTTTTGGCAGACTTCTGCCCGGAAATGCAGATCCTCCTCCGCGCTGTGATGGCCCTCAGACACTCCTCGACCGCAGGTTGAGACTGTAGATTCTCCTGTATGCCCTGCAGCGTGCGCCGTGGCTCCTCAGCTGATGTGCACTGACTCCAATGGAACCACGTGTCTCCTTCTCTCTTGTAGACGGACAGCATGAGATGTACTCTCCACGACTCGGTATGGTCTGGCGAAGCGAGGTTCAGACCACTTTCTTTTGATGACCATCAGGCGCACCCAGTCGATTCCCCGAACTG